CACGGCTTCTGACGCTCGCCCGGGCTGGATCAGCAGCACAGCCTGGGGGGGAGGGACCCCGGGGGCAAAACTCCCAAAATCCCATGGCATCACCTGGGCAACTCCAAGCTCCTCAACCACGGTGGGGACAGTCCTGAGGAGCAGCTGAGGGAGCTGGGGGGGCTCAGCCTGGAGAAAAGGAGGCTCAGGGGGGACCTTCTTGCTCTCTGCAACTCCCTGACAGGAAAGGGAGTCGGGCTCTGCTCCCAGGGAACAAGGGACAGGAAGAGAGGAAACGAGCTCAAGCGAGATTTAGGTTGGATATTAGGGAAAATTTCTTCCCCAGAATGTTTGTCCAGCCCTGGCACAGCTGCCCAGGGCAGAGGTGGAGTCCCCATCCCTGGAGGGGATTTAAAAGCCGTGTGGATGTGGCACTTGGGGACATGGTCAGTGGTGGCCTTGGCAGTGCTGGGGGATGGTTGGACTCCATGACCTCAGGGGGCTTTTCCAACCTGAACAATTCCATGACTGCAGGACAAGGCTGCAGCCCAGGTCAGGAACTGCTGAAGAGGGAGATGGAAAAAAGGGACACGAGGGCTGACAGACCCCCAACACCACAAGGAGCTGCTGGAGGAGTGTGGAGAAGCAACACCATCCTCATGGGCAGGAGCTGCTGCCCTCCCCACCTCGGCTTCTGGCCGCTGTCAGATGACACAGGAATGGACATTTTCTCTATCTTACAAGCAAAATATTCCCATTAAAAGTATGACCCAAGCATCCCCTACCATAATTTAAGGAGAAAGCCACCTGATGCAGCAGCTCCATGCCATCACACACCACCACATTTTTTTTTCCACAAATCATTGGTTTATTAGAAAGGTTTTTTTTTCCCTCATTTTACAGCATATATATATATTTATATATATATCTTATGTGACAAAGTTAAATACAGTCTGTTTATGCTCGTTAAGTAATGACAGGTTAATTATTTTTAGCGCTATCCTGGAAGTCCGAAAACAACCCCGGGATGGGGTCGGGCCCTACAAAGCTCAGCTCTGACAGTAACACTGAATTGTTGGGTATTTACAGGAAATTGAGTCCCTTTTTGTGACCCCTGTGTCACTCTGACCTGCTCCAATTTCTCGTTTACACAGTGAGGAGGCTCAGGGGGGTTTGAACCTTTGACTCCACGCTCCAGGAGGGGTCAGGGAAGAGGATGAGGATGGAGAAGGGGACAGGGGTGCCACTGCATCCCCTCGGTGCCTGCTCTGAAATCCCACCCTACAGAGCCTCCCTGAGGTGCCCCAACCACCGTGACACGAGGGGACCCGCACCTGCAGTGTCCATGTCAGCAAACCATCCCCTGGGATGGGACAGGGAAGCTCCCACAGGGAAGAACTGGGAAACCCCTCGTGGAATAAGTCAGGCAGCCCCAGCTCAGTGTGACCCCGTGTGTGGGATGGGAACAGTCCCAAGGCTCTCCTGCACCAGGAGCCTGTGCACATCACTGCTTCAAACAGGGGGAAAGGAAAAGGAAAGGGGGGGAAAAAAAAGGGATATCTATACTCTGGGAGACACTCTGAACTCCTGCTGCTCCCCACTGCTCCAGTGCCCATTCCTATGGCAGGGAGGAGAGCAGCACCTGCTGGAGTCACCACTGCCCCCACCCCCTCACTGTGCCCAAGTCTCACCTGTTGTGGTTTTTTTTTTTTCTTCTGCAAAATTCTAAATGAAGATTTTTTATTTTTTTTTTACATTTTATAGTACATAAAAACTTCAAAAATACATGAGCTTGATAAAATATACATGCTTAGTTCGTTCTGCATCTAGCTGAAACTATAAATTGAACCTTTACAAGTGTCTTGGGTCACCTACAGCAAACATATTTACACAGAAGCCACCAGAACAAGTACCACTAAGAACTGGCTGTAAAAAATATTATTGCGATATACTACAAATGTAACCTTTGATAGGAGCTACAAAAAGCAGCATCTTTGTTTACAGAGTTCAGTGCAATTCTTTACATTAAAAAAAAAATAATCCTATAAATTAATAAGGAAACAACCATCAGTGTTACAGAGGAAAGAACACGCTTCGCACCCCCGGCCGCGCTCCTCGTCCTCTGTATTGCTTCAATTCCTAACGGGATTTTCCTTTTCTCTCCCATCCCAGTGCCTTTCTCCCAACACCACAGAAGATGGAAGTCAGAGTGATTTCTTCCCCCCCACCACCCCCTTCCAGGAGAAGAGTGGTCAAAGCCCAGACTGGCATTCCCAACCCCAACGAGCAGCTCTCTCCAGTCCGGGATATGCAGGCGCGGTCCTGGCGCAGGAGAACACGGATGCAGGATGGAGAAGGATGGGAGCTCCGGGCACACACACAGCTCCTTCTCTTTTCAGTAAGATCTTACTTCCACCTTTGCTGCTCACACCAAGGAAAAACCCACATGTGCAGTGAGTAAGGCCTGAAAACTGAGGCCTCCTCGCCGGGATCCGCAGCCGACAGCTCCCGAATGTTCCATCGCCAATTACACACCGGGTTCAATCATGCTGACTATTTTAATTAGATGACCTCATTAAAAGGATTTTGAGAGACCTATTAGTGTGGATGAGACCTCATTTATTATATACAAGGCGGCAGAAGGAAGATGACCAGGTGTAAGAACCCAGGGGGGGAAAAAAAAAGCCTTTCCAAGTGTCTCGCTGGTCTGCAGGTGAAATGGTTCTTGGAACGGTGCCGCTGCGTGCACGGAAGTGTGGGAGCGAGACATCCCTGGGAGTGGATATGGACAACGCTGCCGCCCAGCCCTTGAGCCTCCGGCTTCTTCGGCTGCTCAAGAGTGACAGGAAATGCTCAGGCCTCACCCGCCCGCTGGATCAGCTCCAACCCCTTCCCAAAACTCTGAGGTTCCTTCGTTCTGTCCTTCATGTGCCGTGGCTGGGTGGGTGCTGCAAGTCCTGTCCTGAGAAAATGGGGTGCAGCAGGGGGTGGAGGTGCAAGGCCGTGGCGGCGGCGGCGGCTGCGGGCCTCGGGGCCAGGAGGGTCGGGTAGAGAGCGTGCGGGACCGGGTGGAACGTGAAGGGGCCCGGGTGGA